GGGGGGTCCGGCGCGGTAGCCGTCGCCCCGAAGCGCGGCGTGTCCAGCTGGCACGGCTTTGCTCGGGAAACGGCGTTAGGTTCTTGCCCGGCAGCCCACAGCACCCGGCGTGTGCCGAAAGGCGGTGGGTGTGCCCGAGTCTCCTTTAGCGTCTGTTTCTTATTTCTCGTTTAGGATCCGTGGTTGCCTATTTTACGTCTGCAAAGTTTCTGCTTTATCTTGGACATGCGCTGTCCACCTGGGTAAGTAAAACACGGGCCTGGTAGGCGTAGGATGTTAGTGAGCTTGCTGTTGCTTACCTGAATATTATCACTACTTTCCAGTCTCTCCGAAATTGCGCGCTGCCACAGAGACAGAGGTCTCCTTCCAACACCTTGCCGGTATCTTCATAGTCTTTGCACATTATATTGTAGCAGATTCAGTTTTTTTAGGGAAGGGCAGTACCCAGTTCTCTGAGATCCTGGTTCTGCACCTTTCTATACTGTTAAATAACTACAGCACCAGTGAGAGCCTTTCTAGAGTAAGTTCTGAGTAAAAGAAACCAGAGCATAGCCCGCAGGGGAATGGAAGTCCATTACAACATGTCTTTGAAGGACTTGTTTACTTACTAATGGGAAATATTCAGTGTTTACAATGAACCATTACTGCCCTGTAATGGTTAGCAAACCTGTTGTGAGTGTTAGAGGTCTCTTTTTCTGTGAAAATGTGTGCCTCCTGTACTCAAGTAACATATTACACTAGTTTTTAATCACTTGAAAGATAGTAAAAAATTCTTAAAATACAACCTAAAAATAGATAACATATTCCATACAATAAAATTAAGGCTATATGAATCTTTCAATACAATGTTAAGTCTCCATTCAGTGGCCTAATTCAAAAAGTGAAAAGTTTCTTCCCTAATATTCTCTGTGTTGTCCTTAATCCTGGATTTGGACTGGCTTTATGTGTGCTTTGTATAGCATGGAACACATGGCTGATATACAATTACAACACTGCATGCCCAGCTCCAGTAGCACCTCACTTTCACTAGCCAGAAAGGTCATACTGATGTTTCTGTTAGTGGAAGAAGGCTTGGAGTGCTATCAAATGCTTCTTTAAACAAGAATTTAGCAATACAATACAAAAACCAACAATATTTTAGCAATTATTAGTGCTGTTGAAAGCGGGTGATGGTGTTTCTGTTTGGTGCTCTGCTCTTCAGAGGTCAGCTTCCTGCGGCAGTCTTTGCTGGGAATGCCCACAAACTGGCAATTGGGCCAGCCCTGCGTCCTCCTCCCTGACAGGTGTTTCAGAGCTCGGCAGTTGGACTGATGTCAGAGTACATGAGTAAAGGTGACACAGCAGAGTTTGAAATGGCACACCATAACACACTTGAGGCTGCAAGATGTCTATTCAGTCTTTGCAGCTGTTCAGGAATATTAGTAGTATACTCCTTGTTCCAGTGTGTTTTCTTTTGTGCCGAAGATCTTGGCTCAGAAACACCCCAGCCAAACCTGCTGAAGCGACAGAAACATAGCTTACTTTGACAGAACTGCCTGCAGGACTGCACCTCTTGTATCTCGTGAGCTTTAGAGTTCCTGTAGTCTGAATGTTTTTGCTAACAGGAACAATAAACCAGCACCTTAATCTTCAGAACTCCAAAGTAATAGATTATCTTTGTTCTAAAATGGTTATGTCCACAATACAGAACCTGATTGAAATGTGGGTTTGGTGTAATTGAGAGCGCTAATTTGTTTTCTGTGTTACTAAGCCATTCCCAAATACAGCAAGATGCTGTAAATTATTAAATGTGTCACGTTGTGGCAGATATGTAGGTTGGAATGGAGTCTAGACTATGTCTTCAGCTTTTGCTCAGTAAAGCATTTGAATGTGTGCTTGGCCTCAGTGGTCATAATGGGCTAGACAGTAGTGCTGAACTGGAGCCTCAGACCTTGTATGACTGCTTCTGTGTTTGTTCCATTGCTTTCTCCCACTTGTCAGTAAAAAGAGCAGAAGGAAACTGAGCTCGCCTTGTTGGTGCCAGACCTAATACTTGCCAGGAGGTCAGCTGCAACTTGCCAGCCTTATCTGTGCCACTCAGGCCTCAGGAGGCCAGTCAGTAGGTAGCAGCCTGGCTACTGCTTAACTTTCTGGCTTCAGTTCTGAGATGGGATTGTATGCGTTAAGTTCGAGATGATTATAAGGATAATTATAATGACAGCAGAGCAGGGACCGCATTTAAAAGGATGGTGAGGCTAAACAGTGCTAGTTATTTATTTGAAAGAGGCAATTTATCTACATCTTGATACACTTTAAAGTGGGATTAAGTATATATAATCAAGGCTTTGCCCATTTCTGAAGACAAAATTTACTGTTCAAATTTCAGTGGATCTTAGCTTGAAGTTATGTGCCTGCTTCAAACCTCTGTAATTCACTAATATTGTTCTTCTGTGGCACTAATTTCTTTGCTTTTGTTTTTTAATTATTGAAAGAAAATCATGCTTACAGGTTGGAGTAGCTTTAGTTACCTCAAAAAATTAACTGTGTGAATTGGCCTGATCAAAATACTCTGGATAAATGCATCGAATAAGGTTGAACAGAGCTCGTGGGCTCCTTAAACTAATGGTATAGCAAAATCATGCTTTCACTGAAGTCAAAGGAAACTTCCTGTGAGTTCAAGTGAGATCAGGTGTTTTATTCTGACAGCAGAGGCTGCCACTAACTTTAACATATTTTTTTTTTAATAATATGCCTTTTCATCTTGTCAGAATTCAGCAACTGAATCATCTCTACATAAAGAAAGCAAACAAAGTTCTGTTACAAAGTTTTAATGTGGAAGCACTCTTTTGGCTCAGTTTTCCACCTTAATAAATATTTACCCAGACTAATCAAAACTTAGTTAATCCACCTGCTTGTGTTCAAGTGAAATTCAATAGAGAGGTATGTCAGGTCACACTAAGTTTAAGTGAATACTAGGCTTGGGAAATCATATCTGTGTTTTCTTTGCTGAAACACTTCATATATACCATGGAATAAAAGTGGAACATATATAACAGAAGACTTCAGGTCTCTCTGGAGGAGGAAAATTGGTTTATTACATACGATGAGGCACATGTAAACTGATCACACTTATATTTGTGCTTTTTATTGCTTTTAGTTAGAAACATATTGAATACCTGGTGTTTTTTTTTCTTGAACAGTTGAAATTTTATTCCCACATGATTGGGATGTGATTATTTTTCTGTATCTGAAACAAATATGAATGTTTACACATTAGTGTTTGAAGAAACCTCCTTCAGAGAACTTCAGTAACATTAAAAGGCAAATTCTTTTTATGTGTCTGTACTATGTTGAAGGTGTTAATCCAACTTCACAATTATTTTGACCTCCAAATAGCATTTGTTTGTATGCATCTCTTGATTGCTGAATTAAATGACATGCTAGATTGGGTAGACTTTGCTTTTTGAAAGTGCTTTTACACACACATCCCCCAGTCCTTTAGAATATTTGAGGTCCTTAAAAATTTGTACTATTTGCTGTATCGCATAGCAATTGCTTATTTAAGATAAGGCAGCAGAATAAAACAGCAGTTTCATGTTTGGTTTGTAAAAGACTAACATTAGGGACCTTTGCTAAACAAACTGTGTGCCCTGGAATAGTATGAATGTTTTCTATTAATTTGTGTTGCTGATTACATAAAGCACTTTCTGTAGTACCTTTCATGCAATATGTTTAAAAACAAAGTGAGCTATGACTCCTGTCATGTGACAACATCAAAACTTAGATGTATTCATTAGCAAGCCATGTGTCCTTTTGGTAGCAAACAAGGTTTTGAATAGTATAAAAATGACATGCCTTGAACATGTTTAGCATCTTGAGCTTTTATTAACCTCTAAGTAGTATCAAAACATGAAAAGTTTGTTTTCTGAGCAAGAGGCTGAGTACATTGGGCTAGCAATTAGTTGGCAATAGGTTAAACTAGCAGTGGTGTTATCCCTCTTAGTAATACGCCAATGCTTAGTGCAGTTAAAAAGTGCTGAAGTCCAGTGACTTGAGAAACTTCAGTTACCATTTAGGACAAGACCTTCTCTGATTTACCCATGTCTGTACTGAATTGTATTTTGACTTGCTTTGGCTTGACAAGCTCTTGTGTTTTAAAGCAGCATTTAAGCTTTGATCATTTAAGAGCAAACTGCTGTTAGTTATTTAAATAGTAATGGTAATCATTAAATATGTTGCTAATACTTGATCTATGCTAGAGGACCTGTATAAGCTTTGAGAAGCTTGTTGGATTTGGCTGGCAACATACTTTGTCCTGTGACATTACTATAGTAAATATCTGAGATTTTTCATGTGGTATTACAAGCTACAATGGGCTGGACTAGGACAGGTGAACCTTTATTTTAATAGAGACTTTTGTCAAGGAATGAGTAAAGTAGTCAATTTGTGTACTTGTAAAGTGTAAATAGTAATGCTGTGTTATGTACTCTGTTATTCTTAAAGGGAGATCGTATGTGGCATTTTGCTGTGTCTGTATTCCTGGTTGAACTTTACGGAAACAGCTTACTGCTGACTGCAGTCTATGGACTGGTTGTGGCGGGATCAGTTCTGCTGCTGGGAGCCATTATTGGAGACTGGGTGGACAAGAACTCCAGGCTCAAAGGTTAGATGCCTGGAGCAGGCTATTTACTTAAGTATGGATCAAATTTATGTAAAAAGATAAAGTTGGTGGAGTTAGATATGAGATTGGGGCTTGCTCAGTTTAAGAAGGATAATGTTTCAGACTGGTAATTGTTAGACAAAGACAGTGTCAAAGACTTGAGGAAAACAGTTTGATGTCAGGGTATGCCCACTACTCAGGCTAAACACTATGACAGAGATGTGCAGAAATGTGAAAGGTAAAAAGCACAACTCTAAGGACTACAGACATTTACAATCTAGTACTAATGTACACTCACATTATTTGTTGTCTTCTGCCTGAATACAGACATCTTCCACTTAAGTGTAAACACGCACTGCATTTGCATTACACACATTTTAAAATACGTGTGCTCTAGTCTGTTTTAAAAACAGCATGGCAGCAAGTTGTTCACATTTTCTTTCCAAGAGTTTACAAAATAGCATCAGTGCATGGTACACTGAAGATGAATTTCAGGAATTTGAGCTAAGTGTTGGTTTTACCCCTTTAAAAATAGTGTCAGCATTTAAATAGGTACAGTTTGCTTTTTGATTGAGCCTACTGGGCTGTAAATTGTTAAGAGCTATTAATTAAGAGCTACAAAGTTACATCAGGCATTAATTTGTTTCTCTGAGATCATGATTTAGAATCTAATATGAAATATAGTTCTACCACTTATATTTTGGAGGGAGAATTTGAAGAATCTGTGCATATTCCTTAATGATAACCTCCTTAATTTTACCGTTAGATTATTCTTACATTCGTAACCTCTGCTCTCTGTTCTGATTTAAAACAGTGGCCCAGACATCCTTGATTGTACAGAATGCATCTGTCATCCTGTGTGGTATTATCCTGATGATTATCTTCTTGTTTAAGACACAGCTATTGACCTTATACCATGGATGGCTTCTTGTGAGTGTCTGAACTTGTTAACAAGAAATTAATTTACACAGGAACTTGGGGGAGTGGGGGATATGGATGAATTTTATTTTTCTCTGTAGTCTGTGTAGATGTTCCTCTGAGCTAAAACTGCCAGATGAAACTTTTGAGCTAGTTGGGTAAACAGAGGTGATTACAATTCCTGACAGAAAACAAAGTAGACTTGCTGTTTTGTCTGAACAATAACACTAAAATGTATGGATTCGTATGTAAAAGTGTCTTTTCTGGTTGTACAAGGTAGGAGTGGAGATATCCGTCGTTTTTCTCACCTTGTAACTTTCCCCCCCATTTTTCTAGACGATGTGCTATATCCTGGTTATCACAATAGCAAATATTGCCAATTTGGCCAGCACTGCCACAGCGATCACAATTCAGAGGGACTGGATTGTTGTGGTTGCAGGGGAAGACAGAAGCAAGCTGGCAGGTGAAATATGTTGCCTTTTAAATACTTGAACTGTCTTACTTTCAAAGCTTGATTATTACAGTTTTATGGAGGTAGCACATCTTTCAGTTTCAGATGTTAGAAGAAAACAGCATGTAAAAAGGGCAGCTTTTTTTTTTCTTTCTTTCTTTCCCTGCTCTGGACTGCACTTACTGAGATTAGGAATTACTGTTGTGATTACAATTCAGTTAGGCATCCCTAAACTTGTTTTGTCTTACTCCTACTGCAGCTTTGTCAGAAAAACTTTACTCTTGTTGAACAAATAAACATACACCACATTCTTAAATAACCAGTGTTTAATAGAAAAGCTGTTTTAATTCCAGGCACTTAAAGCCAAGTGTTGCAATACTTTATTTTTAGGTCCCTGGAATGAAACAGAAAACTGTTGCATAACTGGGCTCCTCACATAGGGATCAAATAAAGAGGTACATGAGAATGTAGTCCAGAAACAGTAAAGTAGGTGGATCAGGAAATTGCCAGTAGGAAGTGTTCTGCATGCAGGTATTTGACATCTTACACTTCTTTAGCTTTTCATGTCTAACTCGGAGCTGTGAATACTTCAGTTGGAACTGAAAGCTCTGTATTCCTCTGACATCTGATACCTTATCTTTTTTGCCTAGTAAATATTTTTCCTTTTTTTTTTCCCCTTTCTTGCACAGTGACATGGCATTATTAGGAGAGAATGAGTTCTCATTCAAATTCTACTGCAACCTGATGGTCATGACACTACTTGGATGTGAGAGGTTGTTTGGGATCCTCCCCAAGGACACACTGAACCTGACTTTCCTTTGCTAAGGGTTACTCCTAGCCACAAGGCCATTCACACCAAAGCATGTATAACTGATCTTTGGGTACGCTGCTGCTCTGACTGTAAAAGGCAGTGTGGGAAGCAGCATTTTTTTGCAGTCAACTTGGGCAGGCTTTGTGGGCTCTGAATCAACCCTATGGGGCACTTAAGCTTTCCCAGATAGAGGAACTGAAACTGAAGTGCAAGCACTGCACAGAGCAGCTTAATGTTACCAAGACATATGTAGCTCACTAAGGTAACTGTGGAACTAAAGTTTTAAGTCTGACACTCGTGGATTTCGAGTACTTCCAGGCTTGACAGCATTTCAGCTTCTGGACTCTGATTTTGTATGAAGCTGCCTGAGTTGCCCATGAAATTCAGTTTATGTGCCAGAGCCCTTTTAGGGATTTGAATCCTATGTTGCAAATTTATTTCTTGATGTTCTATCTGCAGTGAAGGAATCTTACCTCCCCATCTCATCCAGCATCGGCTAGTTATTAAGTAGATGCATTAAAAGTCTTTCTTTAATTTCCAATATACAAATTTCCCCCCCTAGTCTTTCCTTTTGACCTTGCAGTGCCTTTCTAGATCTACCTGTACTGTAGAGCAGCAGTACAGGGTAACTTCCTTGATGTGTGCAAATCACGAGTAGAAAAATATCGTCTGTCTGTTAAAAAAAAAAAACACCTTAAAGCTCTAATCGTTCTCAATAACCTCTCTTCTTGTGTAAGATCTTATTCAGCAAATTGTCTCCCCAGTCCCTGTACTACTTACTACACATGAGATAAGGTACAGACCACGCCTGCAGAGAACTGCTGCATGGGAGGCAGTCCTGCCTATGTACTGCTTCATGAGGTCGAGCAGAATTACATGACAGCTTATATTCTGTACTGAAAATCAGGCAAGAGGTAACTAAATTCCAATGCAACAAAATTAAAAAGTTAATTCCCTCCCCACTGAACTAATCATCTTCAACAGATCTATCTAAAAGATCCTTTCCAAGGTATTCAGCCTTGGTTATGTGTTTAACTGAAATTTGGAGATTGATATTGCTTAATGTAAAAATTTAAATGCCAACATTGACTTCACCACATATACTGTCGCTCTGCTGTTACCTTTCGTCAAGGAGGAGCCTTAGTTAAGTGTTGATGTTGTAGGTAAAAGAGGAGCCTTTGTTAACGAAGTTGGTTGCATAGGCAAATAGAAAAATTGACTTGACTTCCCCTTCACTGTCCTTGGTTGTTTTTTTTTTCATTCACTCTTGCTTTGTACCTTTCCTGAGTGGGAAATATTAGCCCTACCCAAATAACTCAAAGCTTAGCTTTTGGAATTCTAAAGCCAGATATTATGCAAGTATCTAACTTGCTTATCTTAGTTAACCATCACTCAGATAGTTATCACTGAATTGACTTTGACTTCTGATAGAACAACCTAAACACTTCTTTGAATGGCAAGGAGCAGTTCTCTGCAGATGTAAACAGCAGCTGCATACTGTCATACAGTTTCACTTGTGCTTCAAAAGCTAATTTCATAACAGGACTCTAAAACAGGCTTGATGTGTACTTCTAAGCAGCCTCAAGACCTCATGTGCGAAACCACTGAGTGTCTAGCTGCTTTTAAGGGTGGAACAGTGGCCCCATTAATTGGGAACCTACAGGAGCCCAGAGGGTGTAATGACACTAAAGGAGATAAGACTGGGGAGAGTGAGCCATCCCCTACCAGCAAGTGGAAGATGCATTCATGCGAAGAATGAGCTGCTTGTTTTGATCATAAACATCAAAAGTATGGAACAGAAAGGAGTGAGGACTTTGCTCAGTAAGTTCAGGGAATGCCTCCAACTGCCATCAACCAATGTGACTCAATAAGGAAATTTAAAGCCAATTTCAAAGGTCTGCTGCTATCATGGTGGGTACTGTGGTCACCAGTTATTAGAGGTAAATGGAGGAGATTAAGAAATAAATTGTCCAGTATTGGGAGATAGTAATTGCTAAAATTATCTTTACAGGAAAGAATTTCATCATGAGATTCCTATTAATGTCTGGCGTTGTGCATGCTGAGTTTCAATGTTTGAGATAGGCTTAGGAGTCCATAATGTCACCAGGATGCAAGGCTAATCTGATCTCATGACTAATAGTTTTACCTGCAGGAGTATGCTTCCACTGTAAATCCAGAGTGTTAAGCCTGGAAGACTTCATGCAGGCAAAGCTGGCAGGAGTAGGAATTTGGCTTACCATGGTTGGTCCCAATAAGCATGGAAATGCTCTGAAGATGCCCTTGGAAGGCAGGCTAACTCTTGTCCCTACTGGAATCACTTACAGTTGGGCCAGGACTTCTTAGCTTGGTGTGTGTGCATGTGCAATCCTCAGCTGTATTTGTGAATGTTTCACTGTAAATGTCAGCAATTATATCATCAAATCATTTCTGACAGATATGAATGCCACAATAAGAAGAATTGATCAGTTGACCAACATCTTGGCCCCAATGGCAGTTGGTCAGATAATGACATTTGGCTCCCCGATGATTGGCTGTGGATTCATTTCTGGCTGGAACCTGATGTCGATGTGTGTGGAATACCTGCTGCTCTGGAAGGTTTATCAGAAGACCCCTACTCTGGCGCTCAAATCAGCAAAAGTTGAAGAATCAGAACTGAAACAGCTGAATGTAAAGAAAGGTATTGAAAACACAGAAGTAACTGTTCAAATCCACAGGCTCTCTAGCTTTCTACTCAGAGCTTGAAGGTTTCAGGTTTTGGATATAGATACCAGAGACTGAGTAACAATACTTTGTGCAGCTCTATGAGGAATCCCATAAAATGCAGCCAAAGAATGAATTCTTTCCTCTTAACTAATCCTTCAGAGCAAGTCTGCCCTGTTATGTAGTGCTAACTGTGAGGAATGCTCCTATCCATCTATACCATAGCTAATAGGCTGACAAAGCCTTTCACTCTCTAGTGTCTTCAAGCAAAACAGCCTGTGTAAGACTCTTTATTGCTAACTCATCTTTACTTAATCATAGTACAAACAGCCTTTCAGGAGGTAGTAGAATAGGTGCTAGTATTGCTAGTCTGGCATGCCTCAGTGCGTTTCACATGCTGCAGGAAATGGAGAAGAAAAATCTACTGTGACCACCTACTCTGCTTCCTTGGCCAGACCAAGTAACTGGGGTTTGCAGTGTGGATGGCTATAAGCAACCTTAAAATTGATCCTAACATTACTTTAGATAGTCTTAATTCCAGAACTAAAATTGCTTCAGAAGCAGACTTTGTTAGGAGGTACTTGAAACATCAGATACTAGGGTGTTAAACTTGAGGATGCTCCCATTTTTAAGACAGGAGTATGTGCATACTGCTGCAGGCTCAAGCTATGGGCTCCCAGCTGCAACATGTTGTGGGTGGTTTTTTTTTTTTTACAGAAAGGTTATAAGGAATTTTTTCTTTAAAACCTAGCTAGCAATCTGTTTGTTACTCAATATATGTAGTGAAACAGGGGGCTGCTCTTAGAAGTGCTGAAGAGGCATATCTTCTTCCCAGCCCTGGATCCACTGTGGATGGATCCGGAGCTGGTTGGGTAAGCTATTGGACGAGGCTGATGGCAGGCTAGCATAGGGGAGCAGGATAAAGAGTGTAGAAAGCTCTCTAGCTTTGGAACTGACTCTTGAATGCTCCTGAAGAATGAAGCATTTAGCAAAACATCAGTATGTAGGAAGTGACTCCTAATCTTTGCTACTGCAGTATTCTCATTTCAGTAGAAGACTTCAAAGACTTACTTTTAAGTTGCAGAAATACTGAGTCTCACTTGCTTTATGTGCAGTTTGTTTCAAACTTGACAATGTAAAAATGCTGGTCAGGCATCCAAACACTTGTGTAGCTTCTACCCACATTATTAGCCTAAATACTGCCCTGGGTGTTCTGGATTTTTGTTTGTGGCCAGAGGAGATACGTTTCTGCTATAATAGACTGAAAATAGAATCACATAAGAGCATGGTCTGAGATGTTTAAGTCAAGTTTTGTAAGCTTTTGGCTTTAGTAGACTTCACTAATCATTTCTGCCTTGGTGGTTCTGCCATGGCATGTGATACTGAGATGTGCATGTATTCCCTGTTTTCTGTGCTCAGTGCTTTTAAACACGCAGGTCTGTGTTAAAATGCCAACTAAGGTAGGCATTCATTAGGAAATAACTTCTTTATGGAAATTGAGCATTCAGTCACAAGTATTTGAAAAAGACAGGCTTTGCTTTCTTCCTCCCACAGTTTAATTAAATAAGCAGGTGTTTAATTTGATAAATTTCACTTGATCCTACTCCTACCAGTGGGATTTAAGGACACTGGGAAACATTCAAGTTATCATAGGAAGGTTGATTGCAGAATGTAACTGGTTCACTGCTGCAGCAGTGCACTTAGTAACTCCCAACAACTGTCTTGTGGTTGAAATGCTGCTCTTCTCAGGCAGGAGCGTACTTAACAGTTAAATTTCTTTTTACAGACAGTGACGTGAAACCTGCTGAAGGAGTGCAGTTAATTGTTGAGAAAGATGTAACTGGCTTTGAGCCCCAACAGGAGAAGGAAGTCAGCTGTGCTGCCCGGATTGCTGAGCCTTTCATCACGTTTCGTGATGGATGGGTTTCATACTACAACCAGCCAGTGTTTCTTGCAGGCATGGGTCTTGCATTTCTGTATATGACTGTTCTGGGCTTTGATTGTATTACTACAGGCTATGCATACACTCAGGGATTGAGTGGCTCTGTGCTAAGCCTCCTGATGGGTGCCTCGGCAGTCACTGGAATCATGGGAACAGTAGCTTTCACTTGGCTTCGTCGCAAATGTGGCCTGATTCGCACGGGCCTTATTTCTGGAGTTGCTCAATTTGCTTGTCTGGTCTTATGTGTCATCTCTGTATTCATGCCTGGAAGTCCTCTGGATTTGACTGTTTCCCCATTTGCTGACATCAGTGCCAGGCTGTTTGAAAGTGAACCATTACCTACTATAGCATCTCCAGAAGATAAGCCTGAAATGGTTTTTGCAACTGCAATGCCCAACTGGTTAAACGGGTCTACTACTCCTGCTATCAGTGACCCAGAGATGAGTCCTGAGCCTGTGCCTTTAATCTCCGTTAGTCTCCTGTTTGCAGGAGTCATTGCTGCTAGAGTTGGTAAGTATTATGTCACTGTTAAAATATGACCTGTTGACTGCTTTTTAATTTGAAAACTTGCAGTGCCTCCCCACTTAAATACAAATTTGAGTTTAGAACTGCAGACTACAGTTGAAGTGTTGTATCACATTTCTAAGGCTGATACCTTACACCTCACCAATGAAATGACCTAGTAGTAGTGTTGCTAGTGTAGGGACTGCACCACTAACTTCTTGCTTATAGGAGAAAAGTTACTGCTTTTGGAAATCAATTTAACTTGCCTTTGGAATGCTCATCTCTAAATGATCTTCCTTCACAACCAGATAAATGATTTGTTAATAGGAACCAGAAGTAAACACATCTGCTATGAAAATCTTCAAACTTAGCAGTTTACTGAATTAAGCCATTCATTAAGTAATCTAACCTTCAACTTCGGAGCAACAAATTAGTTTAGAACAGAAACTATTATTTGGATAACAGCTTAATTTTTTGGAGAGTTGCTGGTTAGTGTAGTATTAGTATCTGTGAACAGCAGAGGCAGTCAAATATATAAATGTAATGAACATTAATTCTTATTTGTATAATTTTTGTACTCAATTTCTGCAGCTTTTGTTTAATTTTGGAGTAAAAAATAATTTATTCACATCTATTAAGTTTGTTTGAAAGAAACTTTTAAAACTGATTCAATAATGGGCTAAAATAGCATAGAAGCCAGTGTCATCAGACAGTTGTAAATTACTGTGTTTTGCTTAGTTTAAAATGTTTGGTATTTTTTGCAAACATCTTATGCACAACTAAACAATTATGCCTAGCATGAATACTTTGTTAATAGCTGTGAAACAGCTATTTAGAGAAGCAACAGATGAGCAGAACATTGTTAACTTGACAGATGTGTTAAAGCAAGATGTGACAGGCAAGTTAATGTGTCAAGCTGTGTGTGTTACTTCAGGAGATGGTGGTGAGGTAATTTGCTCTTGCCTGTCAGTGTGAAATCCCTTTTAGTCTGATGAGAGACTAGCTTGTCCTGCACATTTTGGCAGAAGTGAGTGTTTGGAAGTATAAACTGAATTGTGCCAGTAATGAACAATTGCCGTGAAAAGCCCAGTTACATAGATAACTGTTTTTTCTCTCCATAGGCCTTTGGTCCTTTGATTTGACTGTCACACAGTTGCTCCAAGAAAACGTGGTAGAATCTGAAAGAGGCATCATAAATGGTGTCCAAAACTCCATGAATTATCTTCTTGATTTGCTGCACTTCATCATGGTCATCTTGGCCCCAAACCCTGAAGCTTTTGGTTTATTGGTGCTAATTTCTGTGTCTTTTGTTGCAATGGGCCACATAATGTACTTTAGATTTGCCCAAAAAAGCTTGGGAAAACAACTTTTTGTTTGTTGCACTCCTGATCGCAAAGCAGTCTCTGACCGTTCACCACCTGGTAATACGTCTACTGTTTGAAAGGATCGGCTTCTCTTACTAGCTTGCTACACAGATACCATGGTCAAACACGTGCTGCCTTCTGTGACCCTAAGGTGTTTCTGTAGAGTTTAGTGCTTAACTTAGCTGTTTGAGTAAGCTATCCTGAGAGAGCTAAAATTCATCTTAGGGTGACCCTGTGAAAATATTTCCTGCTTGGCAGGGGACAACCTAGTTAGATCTTGACAGCTGGTGTTTAAAAGGATCCCCACAAATTGTACATCTAGTATTCGAACACATGTAATGTCACCCCCACAGTGTTAGTAGTTATGCATGCTCAGTTTGCTTAGGAAGTCTGAATAATTCTTGTGCTCATTGAGAAAAATGAGGTATTTTTTTAGTTGGTTCAGAATAACTTGCTGTACAGTATTTGGGGTTTTTTGGGGGGAGCAAGGGTGTAATGTGTTTTCCTTTACCACAAACAGTTTGCTCCTCTGTCTCCTCAAATTGGTGTAGACATCCTTCTTGGATTCCTGAAGCAAACTCTTAAGTTCTGATGTTTTCTCAAAATACCTTATTAGTATTCTGTTTTGGTTTAACTTTACAGAAACACCTTTGAAGGTTTTTTGCATGTTTCCTTAAAATTAGATAAGTGCTAGGTACAAGATACTGTATTACGCTTGTGTTGCACTTCATAAAGTAAAACATAGCCTCACTTAGCAGAAGCTATTTATGTAACATTATAAAGCATGGCTTTTTTTTAATTGCAAGTGACAGGTCTGCTCAGGTTTGACATAGCAGAACATACTAAGGTCAGGAGTACTGGTACAGAAAGTTAATCTAGGACTAACAGTTCTTGCCTCAGAGTACAAGCAGCTTGATTTTTGAATGCTGTTTTCAGAAACCCTATTAAAGCCTGATGTATTGGAAAATAACTAGTATTCTAGGTAAAAAGTGAAAGTGTATTTACTGGCATTTAGCTGTTGCACGTGCATGTGAATTTTGACTTAGTGTATTCTAAAATACTGTTAAAACAATGAGGTGTTGGACTGTGTGGCCCTCTAAAGCAACTTCAGAGCAATGAGGGATGATCCATCCCTCTGATTTTCAAGAAGTTCTTGCCCTTTTTTTTTTTACCCTGCATGTGTACTAATGCAGTACTTCAGTCATTAACCATATGTGCACTTTTTTGGAAACTACGCACTTTGCTTTCTCAGTAGAGTTGAACCCGGTGGTGTTCTGAGTTTTCCTATGCTATTACAGTATGACTTAAAACTTTATAAAATGTTTGTTTGCAAAATTAGTGTGCAAAAACATACTATCAGCAACTTGTGAAAAGTATCCTCTGTGCCTTCTGAGGTTTCTTCAATTTTAGGTACTGTCCTTCAGTCATCTATGTTGCCAGACCAACCCTGGAATGTGTGAACTCCATTGACACTAAAGGCATTACATCAGGGCTGAATCTAGGCCATTCATCTTGAAATTTGTAGTGATTACATCATACAACTAAATAGAATGTAAAAAGAACCCTCTAGTAGCTGTTGTCTCGGACTATTTTAAGAGGAGTAAAAGTGAATGAATGGGAATCCAATGTACTTGTAGCCCTCAGTATTCAACTGGATGTAACAATTTTTCTCCTCTAATGGACCAAAACTAATCATTACTGTTATGTTACTGAAAGTTTCTCAGGGATGTTTTGACTAGGTCTCTAAGTGTTTATACTTTGACCAAGCTTTTGGGTTTCATTCCGATATAATGAAATAAAATATATTCATTAGAGTAGTTTTAAAACTTGTGACTCAGTCTTGAGTGTAACTTTTTTAAGGAAAAGGGATTTTTGCCATCAGCAGAATTTAAAACTCAGAAGACAAATAAAACAAGCTTATTTAGATTTGTAGAATAAATATGCCCGAAGGATAGCTTATACAGTATACCAGTAAATAAAATACCTCTGATTTGCCAAGTAAGTTCTCATGTGTATCTAACCTAGATTGGGACCAGACTTAAATATTGCTCAGTGTAACTAAAGGTAGCCCAAATGTCAGTGAATGCCTCTATACTGCACTTGGAACATCTGAATGCCACTATATGTTGGACTTGCAGCCCGTCAGGGGAACAAAGCTGAAAATACAGCTTCCCGTGGACTCTCTGTAGCCAGCAGAGCCCAGCATGCATAAAGCTTAATCCTGTAACACTAAGCACCAGACATCCCAGGGAGGATGTATTCCTGAAGTCTGGTGAGCTCCAAAAATATAACGAAGAGAGCTGGGAGCATACCATGTTCCCTTCTGTTCCCAGAGTTGGGTTTGGGTTTCTTTTTCCCCCCCAAAGAGCAATGTTGTCTTACTTGAGTAGCAATTTGTTTCGTAATAGTTTCACTTAGCTAGTGCAGTCTAAATCTCAAGCCAAAAAAGGAGTTATTGGGAGGGGGCTGGACCTTTATTTTGTACAACTAATGTTGCTAAGATTCACATGTGCAGATACACAGCTGGAGGGCAAGACAATCCTAGAAGAGAAGGAAGGTGGATGGTAGCTTTAAGAGGAATAAAGCGATCTCAATTGGCAGTCATGTGTGTATTGGGCTGAGTCAGATGTCAATATATGCTGCTTGAGCACAACCCACTTGTGTATCGGTCTGAGGTGTGCAGAGACACCTCTACGGATTAGTGCTTCGAAGCAGTGTGGAGCCTGACATCTTACTTGGCAGGAGCTTCATTACGTATGCATTTTTGGCCTTGTATTTATTTATTTTTTTAAATGTGTCTGATTTGGATGAAAATTGCCCTAAAATATATGTCCTAGAAATCAGTCTTACCAGAAGAGCATATTTTATTATACAACCTTATGCTGGACATATTATTGATTTATGTATTACAGTTGTTAAAGCTCATTAATAAATTTGCATAAAATTTTATTTGACATGTGTTACTCAGTTTGTGGGCATCTTGGTACGTTATATTTAGCTTGGGTTCTGTAGATGGAGGTTTTCCGTAGTGATGAGATGGAAACAGCCAAGAAGCACAAATAAATAGCATTGAGGAAGAAACAAACTACAAGTGTAGTAAAAGGCTTTTAATGATGCTGTAGCTCAATGGAGTTTTATTTACCATCCACAGCAGTAACTTAAGACACAGTAGCTGAAGATCAAGTTGTGGTCTTGCAACCTCTGCCCAGGGCCAGCGTTAGTGATACAGCAGTTCAGTGCATTGGCTTGCTGGGTAACAGAAAGAGAATGATTTTACCTCCCCAGTCATCTTTTTACTGTATTAACTTTGAGTTGATGGCTGCCTGCAGCAGCAACCTGTAGGTGAGAACGCTAGGCATGTGAGTGGTCAGAAATAAATGTGATACCTTTAATATTCTGGTTTTAGTCTTGAAACATCAATTGAGTATTTTATACAGGACTGCTGCTTGTTAAACGTACTTAGGATATGCTTGTGTGATGAACCGATTATTGGAAGCATGCTGTGCTCCTTCACTAGGATTTCCCTGCACTGATTCCTTTTTGAACTAGGCAAATACCTTTATGGGTTGTCCCTAATCATGTTAATACCATGTTATTCCCTTATGGGAATTAGAATTATTAGTAATATTTAGTTACTCCCATGTGGGAATTAGAATGCGTTGAGTTAAAACTACAGGCTTTGTTGCATGTGTCAGACTTGGTAGCATTAGGGTAAGTGCTGTGCCCCTTTATTGCGAACTACCAAAATGTCATCGTTAATCAGATTACCAATTTTAATTTTTAGGAATGTTTACCTCCTTTGCTGCCGCTTACTAACCAAGGAAAGTGTTAGAATAATGACTTGAAAAATGTAGTTACACCGATCCACCCCTGCAGGTACCAAGAAAGAATTGTGAATGGTGTTTTGTAATATACTTAGTGGATAAAGAACACTTTGACCGGAAAAGGCCCTTCACAATTTACCATTTGATGGTTTCATGGTTTTCCTTTACTCAGGTGTCCACATTTTGGAAAGTTCAGGGTTTTCTAAGAACCTGTGGAATTCAGTGCCCAGCACCCAAAGATAGAATGATTGAAGATACTTACCACTCCCTTTAGTTGATTGTTGCACTGCTTTACTTACAAGGTAGTTGGCGTATTACTCTGCCTTTGGAAAGCAACATATATTCCATATTTCATTATTTTGCTCTGGAGTGTTTAATTGCTTTTATTTTCCAAAGGGTTTTCTTAAACTGAGCACTGATGATAGAGGGATTGAAAATTGAACCTTGTTAAAAGCAAAAGGAGAGACTGAACTCTGTCCTTTTAATTCAAACTGTTTTCTGTTTTCTTCAGTGAGGAAACTGTCCCTTAGAAATTCCAGGAGTAAGTAGGTTCATATCTAGTAGTTCGAAAACAGTTCCTGCTGTCTTTGATCCTACAAAGGGCATGGTGTGTATGCTAGCTAGCTCATTTCCTTCGCTAAGTTGGCTGTGAGTTCCCTCAGTGATCACTGTCAAAAATCCCATCTTTTCATGCCATAGTGTTAACACTGCTTTCCTGCTGGGAAGAGGCTTCTTCAACAGCCTCCTACACAACTGGATTTGCAAAGCATATATTTGAACTCTTATGTGCAAAGTATCACAGTTCACAGGTAAAACTTAATAAAGAAACCTAACATTCTGTAATAGAAATGAACAGGTAATTCCAGACTCATTTAAAACAATTTCTATTGCTTTTAGTATTGAAAACTAGCAGATATTACTGAGTCAGTGCTAAGTCGTGGGCTCTTCATAACTTCGGAACAACACAAGGTTACAAGCTAAACTACTAAAGTAGTTCAGAGTAAAGATTTTTTTCAGCTAGAGTGCGACTAATAGGTCTATTATTTTCTAAATCTAGCACTGGAGAGATGGTACTGCTTTTTTATCTGCCTCAAGACTGACCTGGTACTCCAGGAATATATTATGCTGTACTCTGCATTAATATCTTTCCCAAGTACTTGGTCCTAGAGAAGCTAGTAGTAAGTATTAGAGTCATAGTCCTTAGTGTCTAGCCCTCTGTACTCACACGTTCTTCATCCTGCTTGTGGGTGCTGTTAAATGTGTGGTGTGATAATCACTGCAGGATTGAAAGTATTTTATTCCTGGACTAAGACTATGCCTCTAGCTTCTGCTGTAAAATAAGGCAGACTGTATTTTGCAACTCTGAAGGGCA